TAATTAAGTCCTGATGAAACAACAAATAATATGTGAATGCGTCTGAAGTATGTGTTTTCATGTATGTCAATATAACATTCTTTGTATGGTACGTTCTCGAAGATTAATCTGAAAAGACATCTATTATTTACATTTTGAAATGATAAATTAAAAAATGAAATAAAAATGAAAAAAAAAATAAAGGTATAAAAAGGAAAATTTGATAATATTCTTTTGCATTACTATTAGGTCTTTCCACTTTTCTGTGGAAAGACCTATTGTATTTGTTCTGATTATTATTTTTTTCTTCCGCCAAATTTTGTTATCGCGTAAAATTTTTGTTTCGCAATATGTCGCTAAGATATTTCTTATATAGTATCATACAGTTTATTCACTTTTTATTTTCACCCATTCTAAGCCGAACATTTTCTTTGTAAGAGTTATCTCCCCATTCACTGTTTATCTTGTGTGTGCATCTCCTTCGTAACAAAAAAAGATATCGACAAAATTCTTTTTCTAAATTGTTCGTTACATCCTCAGAAATTTTTGGCTAATTTGGATCGAAGCGATTTTATGAAATTTTAAAGGAGTTATCTACCTTTACCAAATAAATTTGTCGGTATGTTTTTTTAACTCATAAACCGTTAACCGTATAACCCTGGAATATTTTTATTTGAGGTTCCTAGGTCCTAACTTAGAAAATGAGATCAAGGTCAAAGATCAAGGTCAAGTTCTCAATTTTGACTTTTCCATTTTTTTGCATTTTCTCAAACACTTTTAAAGATATATATGAAACAACAAGTGCAAAATGTTTGCTTTATTATAATGAAGATATGTTACATTTGGTCTGAAACAATCTAATGGCATCTTATAGGAGTAAGTGCCCCTGAAATGTCCAATTATAAGGTTAATTGATTATTACTTCAACTTGTTTCATTATAAAGCCATATGACCTTTTACAAAAGGTTGGATGACATATGACCTTGAAAAATGACAACCGGAAGTGACCTTGAGAAAACCGGAAGTAGCCATTTTTGCACTTTCTTCATGGAAAAGTACTCGGAATCCATATATTTTGTAATTTTAATACATTAACTTATCACTAAAGACAAGAAATGACTTAGATAAACCGGAAGTGGCCAATTATCTCCTGGTTTACAAGCAAAAGTATATAAAAACTATATATTTTTGGAATCAGTGTGAAAGAAACTATTATATGAGACCGGAAGTGACATTTACTTCACCGGAAGTAGCTAATTATCTCCCTTATTTCACTCAGAAGTATATAGAAACCACTTATTTATCGCATCAGTATGAAGAAACTGATGATAAGATGCCAATTTTAACTTTGAGTAAACACGAACTAGCTTCTTTTCAATAAATCTAAAAATTGCTGTGGAAAGACCTTCAATTGTTCTCTGAACAATTGGTTTTTAATTATTCTTTTTTTTTTTTTTTAAATTTGAAGTATCATAAGACTTTAAATCTAGTATTACTTCAGCTGAGTCGATACCACTTCTGGGTGAATTGTTACTCCTCGGCGGCATCGCTCGTCCGGTAATCAGTGATTTTGTTTTGCATTACGTTGATACTTCAGAAACGTTCAGTGGATAATATATGTATATTTATTTAGAAAACTAACCATTTACACGTCACGTGCAGGCGCGGAGTATCCAAAAATGTTTCTGATGGCATGTACAATCATTTTTTTTTACCTTTTGTGTATATATATAATGTTCTGATATCGTGCGTCTGTTGCCGGCAAACTGTCACATTTAAATTACTGGTTACGCCGAAGTTCAATTTAATGTCTTCTTTGCAGTCCGCTTCTCAGTAATGTTTTTAAAACTGAACATATAAGCATCAACGATAAATTGCAGGAAAAAAAACCCAGTTTACATGCATTCCTATTTTTAAAGCTCGTACAAATAAATTTTAGATTTTTCGACAATGTACGTATTTTGTATTTATACGTTTTAAAATCAAGAATGCAATTTAATGTCTCATAATTCCTATTGCACACAAAAATAACATTTAAACTAAGTGTTCCAAGATTTAAGATCTGTGAGAGTATATTTCACTCAACATATTTATATCAAAACTGTTCATATCATTATTATAATTTTGTATATGTTATTGTAAGAAGATAAATAACTACGAAAAATCACTTAACTTCTTTAGTTATAAAATTTGATTTGGAGATTTACTTTGGTTGGTTTTGACGTCTATATATATGTGTTACTTGTTAGGGTTAACTTGTCGTTAACTTTTGATACTTTTGTAAGGTCAATATTTGTCTTCGAACCCAACTGACATATTGTGTATTTAATTAAATTCGGTAACCTGTACATTTATGCATATGAGTTACCTATGCCATCAAGAAATTGAATTGTACAGTTCATGATACTGCTTTTATACTGGAACTATATTACTTTGATATGGGTAATTGAGAAAATTTTAGGTTAGTCTTAAGATAAACAAAATAATAATAATAATAATAATAATGATAATAATAATAATAATAATAATAATTATTAAAAACTAATTGTTCAGAGAACAATTGAAGGTCTTTCCACATCAATTTTCTAAATAATTGAAGAGAAGCTACTTCCGGTTTACTTAAAGTAACTATTGGTGTCCAAGCATAGGTTTCTTCATTCTGATTCAATAAATATATGGTTTCTATATATGTTTACCTGAAGTAAGGGAGATAATTGTCAACTTCCGGTTTAAAAAATGTCACTTACGGTCTCACATGATAGCTTTATTCAGACTGATTCCAAAAATATACGGTTTCTATATACTTTTGCCTGTAATAAGGGAGATATTAGGTACTTCCGGTTTATTTTAGGTCACTTCTCGTCTCAAATGATAGGTTTCTGTGTGCGTATTTAAAACATATATAGTTTCTAGGTATTTTTCCATGAAATCAGTGCAAAAATGGCTACTTCCGGTTTACTCAAGGTCACTTCCGGTTGAATTTTTTCAAGGTCATATGTCAACCAAGAGTTTGCAAAAGACTCTATGGCTTTATTATGTACCAAGTTGGAGTAATAATAGATTAACCTTAAATTTAATCATTTCAAGGACCATAACTCCTATAAGATGTCATTGGATTGTTTCAGACCAAAAGTATCATATCTTCATCACAATAATGCAAACATTTTGCATTAGTTCTTTTATATATAGCTTCAAAAGTGTCAGAGAAAATGCAAAAACAAGCAAAATTCAAAATATATAGAACATGATCTTGACCTTTGAACTTGACCTAATTTTCTAAGTTAGGACCCATGGACCTCAAATAAAATGACTTTAGGTTTATACGGCTTACGGTTTATGAGTTACAAAAACATAACGACAAATTTATTTGGTAAAGGTAGATAACTCCTTTAAGATTTCACCAGATCGCTTCGATATAAATCAGCCAAAAATTTCTGAGGATGTAACGAACAATCCAGAAAAAGAATTTTGTCGGTTTCTTTTTTTGTTACGAAGGAGATGCACACACAAGATAAACAGTGAATGGGGAGATAACTCTTACAAAGAAAATTTTTCGGCTTAGCAGGGTGAAATTTAAAAGCGCATACACTGTACGATTCATTAAAAAAAATATCTAAGCGACATATTGCGAAACAAAAATTTATCGCAAGAACAAAGTTGAATACGTTTTATACACTTGAATGGCTAAGTTTTACTATAAAACAAAAAGTGTACGTGGACTTTATTGGAAAAGAAAATCCGTTATCTTATCAAAATCTTCAGAAATGTACTGCTATTCAATTATTATCTTCCAGTACTCTAATTCGCCGATGTTTTTCCGTATGCAGTGACCTTAACTACGAGACCTCTCGTTAGAAGTTTGGCCACCGCACAGCGCACTTCTACCAACATAAACCAAATACCTTTTAAACAAAAATAGACATTGCCGTTAGTTCAGATCCACTAAATCTTGTTTCCTTTAAAATGACGTCATTGTAGAAGAAAATTACCGGTTATAGAAACTATTCAATTAAATATTCAAAGCATTTTCAGCCCATCAGGTGGGTATGATACAAATGGCTGTAGACATATTGCACGGGATGTTTTACCTTCTTTAACATATTTAAACACAAATGACTTTGGATATGTGTTGTCGTAGCTACGATCCCTACTCCTTTTCCACGATCGCCACATCACCAATTTCGACTTATCACCGGATTTTTACTTGCCTTTAACGACTAGCGAAGCAAGAACTGCCTGCCATTTTCGAGTACCTGACTTCACTCCCGTTTTTATTTTAGCAGTGTTGATCAATCTTTATAGGTTCCTATGTAGTGTTTTTCGGACTGTTGTTTGTCTTTACTTGTTCTTTCTTTTGGTCATGGTATTGTATATTTTTCAACTGATGGTTTTAGATTGAATCTCTAGTATTTTCTCCCACTTTTAATTGTCGACCCTGACCACTGGGCAGTTCAACGTGTGTATTCTTCTGGAACACAGGATATCCAAGTTGATCTTTATGGTTCCGCTTCGTATAATTCGTAACGTACTTTAGGCCCTTTTCAGTGTCGAGCGACTGTTATGTTTTAAGATTTTGAAAATGCTGAATGCACACATTACTTCTTTGCGATAAACCGATACAAAACAGCGCTGTGTTTTTTTTATATATAAATTTGAAATGATTATGAATCAGCAGTAAAAAATCTAATTTCTCGTTTTTTTGGGGTATTTCTGCATATTGTGCACGTACGTTCGTCGTGTGGATGATATAAAACCACAGTTAAAGGTCCCATTTACAGAATCACAACTATTAGAAGTATATCAGCATATGTTATCTCTATTTATCTTTTGTTTTTATCTGACATTACAAGATTGCAATTTAATAATATGTCGGATTGATTTATAACCATATTGTTAATTTAGAGTTAATTAACTACACCCGTTAAAATATGACAATTTTATAACTATCTGGTTATATTGATAAATAATATATGATTGGCCCTTCTTTAAATGAATATCTATATATACAGTTGCGCAAAAAAATATTCTTAGTTATTCTGAAAATGTCGGACAAAAATATTAAGAAAAAGGTAAGAAACACAGTCGATATATTATTACTAAAATTTTACTTAACAAAGTACAGAGGGAAGGTCATAGAGACATAAACATCCAGTGGCAAACATTACACGCATATCAGGACGAGAACATGTTAATGTAATATTAATATGAAGTTATGAAACCTTCTTTGTACTAGACCAACCGGCACGCAAAGCCCGATTTTACGTGCATAGGAACACATTTCAACCGATACGGGCACAATATTTGACTCCGAGACGATAGATGTTTGCTCTTCCTCCTAAACGCCAGGTGCTCTGAGGAGAAGCAGCAAATAACAGTTCAAATCTTTGATTAAACACAGCCGTGGATTGAACGCACGACCTATCGAACTCTAGGAGAACATGCTACCATGTGGTCACCAAGACTGCAAATTTAAGGAAACGATCTCTAGGAATTGGTGAATTATAGATCAGAGGTGCTTCCGGGGCTTTCAACTCTCTTTTCTTCAGATTTCTATGTTATCAAACCACGTACTAATGCACTAAAAATTAGATCAGAATTCCCCCGTTCTCCAGCATAAAAAAAACGTTTTAATCATTTAGATCCGAGACTTGGTGGGTTTTAAAAAGGTTAATCAAATTCAATAATTTCATGAATACATAAAAAGGAAAACAGGAAATATCCAAAAATACTGGACAGTACAACAGACCACAACAACCACAAACACCAGACGCCTCCGAAAAAATAAAATTACACATTAAAAAAAAACATTGAACAGAACAGCTGGCAAGGCAAACACAGTTCTTGGTTGAATACTTCCGTTTAGGACAAAATCCAAGAAAGAACAGACTTAGATGATTTTATAAATCTCATCATGATATTTCAGTATTGTTGAGACATCATTGCAAATACTGTCTCCAATTTTATATCTTAAATGCCTTTTTACGGTCTTATTTATTACCAATCTGTGTATTTGTTGTCTATCATTAGGGGAAGACCTTTAAATTTTCAGGAGTGACAGGGCAGATTGATTTTTTTTTCTCTCGGGCAGAATATTAATTTTCACTTGCTGCTTTTCATTTCGTGCCGCAAAGCATAACAAAACACTTTTCTCTTTTGTATAAACAATTATTTATTTTATTTAGTGGGCAGAATTTTCATTTTCAACTTGTCTTTGGCATGCTTAGTTTTGTTAGTTCTCACCAGGATGAGACATATCCTCCTAGTCCCCCACCCAGAAAATCAAATGGTCGTCCACTTACCGATTTGGTTGTTTTTTTCTGAACGGATTATAATGGAACATTGTTCTGTGTTCCCTGTGTTTTTCTGAACGGATTGTAATGGGACATTGTTCTGTGTTCCCTGTGTTTTTCTGAACGGATTGTAATGGGACATTGTTCTGTGTTCCCTGTGTTTTTCTGAACGGATTGTAATGGAACACTGTTCTATGTTCCCTGTGTTTTTCTGAACTGATTGTAATGGGACATTGTTCTGTGTTCCCTGTGTTTTTCTAAACGGATTGTAATGGGACACTGTTGTGTGTTCCCTGTGTTTTTCTGAACGGATTATAATAGGACATTGTTCTGTGTTCCCTGTGTTTTTCTGAACGGATTGTAATGAGACATTGTTCTATGTTCCCTGTGTTTTTCTGAACGGATTGTAATGGGACATTGTTCTGTGTTCCCTGTGTTTTTCTGAACGGATTGTAATGGAAAACTGTTCTGTGTTCCCTGTGTTTTTCCTCATATCGAGATTAAACAGAGGGAAGTTCAGACCTAAAATCTAGTTTAGCCCGTCAAATGTTCATGTGCCGGTCTTAGGGGCAATCCCACGGTGAATTTTTGAAGAAATTTTGCATACAAGCTATTTTTCACCTATTCAATTCAAATATGTAAGAAAAAAAATATACCTTCATTTGCTTCTTTTAGAGATAAATGGGGTAGAAATTTTAGACATTTACTGGACAGTTCGGTTTCTTTGACATTTCTATCGTTGGGAAAGACATACCTAACTTTTTTATTTTAAAAGATAAAAGCAAGCGAATTTTTCTAAAAACATCTGGAATGTCTTCTCTACATAAGCGTGTTTCGAATTTGTGTAACAATTCTTTGGAAATAATTCATTTTATCTCAATTTCATGATTTTAGTAAAAAAAAACGGCACTTTTTTACTGTATATTTATCTGATTTAAGAAAATTTCATCGGTGATTTGTTCATAAAAATTGGCACACATAATCAAGAAAATGGCATTTTTAAAAAGAGGGGTTCATGAACTCGTTTTCAAGTTCAATCAGTCTGATTGAAAAAAATCAGTCAAAAATGGATCTTTTCTCGATATGTCACAGTTTGACGTCGCGAAAAATAACATTTTACGTTAGCGAAGGCATTACCTCCCCTGTTACTGTATCGTATGCCCTTTTAGATATATAAAATTCCGGACCCCTGGTCTTTAGTAATATCTTGACGTTTTTGTGTTATTATGGATATAATGTAGAAATATTCATGATCCGCACTAGACTGACAAAAGCAACAGTATAGGAACATCATTTTATTGCTTGTCTGCATTGTACACAGTAAGTGAACACCTATTTTGTTACTTGTCTTAATCGTACAACTACATAAGAACAGCGCATTTATTGCTAGTTTTCATCGTACACCAGTATAGGAACACCGCTTTTATTGCGTGTCTGTATCGTACACCAATATATGAACGCCAATTTTATTACTTGTCGTCTTCATCGTACACCAACATAAGAACAGCGCTTTTATTGCTAGTCTTTATTGTACAACAGCATATGAACCACGCTTTTTATTGCTAATCTTCATCGTACACCAGTATAGGAACAGCGCTTTTTTGCTTGACTTCATCGTACACCAGTATAGGAACAGCGCTTTTTTGCTTGTCTTCATCGTGCACCAGTATAGTAACAGCAGTTTTATTGCCTGTCTTCATCGTGCACCAGCATAAGAACACCGCTTTGTATTGCTTGTCTTCATCGTACACCAGTATAAAACATCGTTTTACTATGATTGCTAGTCTTTCTCGTACACCAGTATAGGAACAGCGTTTAATGCCTGTCTTCATCGCACACCAGCATAAGAACACCGCTTTTTATTGCTTGTCTTAATCGTACACCAGTATAAGTACAGCGCTTTTATTGCTGTATTCATCGTACACCAGCATACAAACACCGCTTTTACAGCTTGATATTTTGGGGATTTCATAATCATCTACAAATATCAAATATATAGACTTCATCAGAATTCCAAAATCGGCGGATTTAACAGAAAAACCACTGGAGTCTATGTTTTCTTTATTAATTTATTTACTAACTTCGAATTCAAACTTATCTGATCCTCAAATTCCAAAATTCACAGTTTTACTCTCTGTGGTAATTTCTAGGACATACCCGTATATATTTTTTTTTATTGCTATTTGATGAGAAAATGGACAATCTAATTAAAATATAGATCTCGGATTTCGTTATGCTCATATGAGAGCACGCGAGTTCCGATAGTTCTGAATTTTAATCAGATTGACAAAATGGGTAGCCCAAGTTAAATTTTCACTTTGTATAATTTTCGATAAATAGGAAAATACACGCAAAAAAAAAATCACTGTATTGTATTGTTAAAGATGTTAACAACATAACCTTGATTGGATGAAAAATTCTCGATTATAAATACATGCGAGTCACTTTGAAGGAAAGTAAATTATGTACATTGCGGCATGCTAACAATTGAAAGTTTTTATCATTTTTGTGATAGTATAACAAAGCATTTCTAAAGCATATTTTGCAAATATCCGCGTAAATGTGATTTATATCTATTTTATTTTTACATTATATGCAAAATGTTCGAGTTTGGACAACGATCAATCACACATCGTTGCTAATTAACATTTATTGAACAAGTATGGGAGAAATCTGTTTGCACCAAAAAGGCATCCTTTTGCGCCACAACTCATTTGCGCCAATCCTACGTTTGTGGCACTAGTTTTCAATATGCCTAGTATCACTTGCATCAAAAATAAAGTATACCATTGCGCCAATTTATTTTAATGAAAAACAATGACTCCCCTCTTCCGTTTTAATCAGTGTTGGACCGGCACTGGACATAGCGACTGAGTCACGGTGTAAAGTCATTTAGAGTGGTTTTAATAAAACTTTTTTAAAGTTTGGAAACAAAACATTATTTACAGCCAGACAACAATATATTTTAAATGGTGAAATTTGTAATGTAAACCACATAATTCTATAATCCTCTTGTATAAATCTGGTATTTTTCGACGGCAAATGTTTCCTTTTCTAAGTTGAAAAAAAAAAACAAAATTGATTGCAGTGATTATGAAATTCCTCTGGTCCATCATTAGTACGTCTTACGGATGTTGGAGTTTCAGTGTACGGATTGTGGGGAAACCAATGTCATCAACATCTGTGGGTCACACATAATCAACAAAAGCTTCTACTTTCTTATTACTTTGGCATATCTTGCAACAATAGTCCCGAATTCCATAAAGTATTCTTTTTATGGTACCATAATTTGTTTAAAAACATTTTGTACCATAGATATTAGTACAGGTAAATTGGCGCATATGAATTCCGTAAATTGGCGCAATTGATACCTTTGAAGATTAATATTTGGCGCAAATGATACATCTTGAAAATAGCAATTGGCACAAAAGGACTGCTGCCTAAGGTTTGACATGTATGATTAACCAATTTAGATATTATGCAAACAGAGATGCATATTATTGTGATCCGTCGATCAACGAAAAGACTATGTAATGTTATTTCACATATCAATTTCTTTGTATACTCAATAATTAACCAGTTTAACAGTAAAATGCTCTATGGTCGGGTTGTTGTCTCCTTGATACATTCCCCATTTCCATTCTCAATTTTATGGACGTTTAAAAAGCGAGAAATCTTGAAATATGCAGGAAAATTTACGAGGTGTAAAATTTTCGCGTTTCTTTAGCAGCCGCGAAAAAACCGAAAATTAAACACACGCGAAAAAATTAACGTTAGGAATAATATTTCAATGTATTTTATTTCATCTCACCGATTTAAGTTATTCTGATGTATTTGTTTTTAGGAATATAGATATGAGGATTATCCAATTTTACGCACAATTCAGGAAAATGTTATTGGAAATGATTTGATAATACACGGACCATATGGACCTCGGAAAGGTATATATTTTAATGAATTTACATAAAAGCAGTTTCTATTGGGTTATTTTCCAACCAGTTCAAATGGTATTGTTTGTTGTATTTACACGTATTTAAAGGTTTTCTATGGTTCAAAATTTAACGTTTTCTCCGGGGACTCCGGCTTCCTCCACCAATAAAAACTGACCGCCCCGAAATAGCACAGACGGGTTGAAAGTGGCGTTAAACACCGATCAATCCGCCGATCAATCAAAATTTAACCATGCAATCCTATGACATGAGATTAGTATTTATACAACAAAGTAATTATATAGTAGATATTGTCAGTCAAATTTCTATGACATAAGATTTGTAGTTATACATCAAAGTAATTATATTGTAGTTGCTGTTGGTTTGTTTTTCAGTTGTTTACTGTGATTATACAGCATCTGGAAGGTATGTTTTAAGTTTACCTTAATTCGGACTAGGTTACCTATATATCTTTTTTTACAAGAACACACGCTGTATAATATTGCAATTTTTAAATTTGATTTAGTCCATCAGATGACATTTTGAGCGTTTTCTGTCTTTGTCAATAATTTCAGACTTCCAATTTGAATTGAAACACGTTTCAATTAAATATATACTTTATAAGACAAACTGATGCGGCAATTCAAGTAAAGTACAAAATAAGAAAAGGATATGGCTTAAAAGTGGTAAAGAAACCATTATCTTGCTGTTATAGTATCTTTTGATTTCGTTTTATGGCTTTAGCCAAAATGTTGTTGTTTGTGGTACATTATTTTTTTGTATTTTTCTGTTCTCTTTCGAATAATTGAATATTTCAGATGCTTAGCGTTTATAGAAGACACAATAAGACAGCATGTATTACCGGTTTATGCTAATACGCATTCTTCTACAGGTTACAATGCTATACAAACTACTAAATTTAGAGAAGATGCCAGGTAAGATGTTGACTGTATGACATGGGGATTGTCTTTCGGTGCTATAGTTGCTTAAATATTCGTCATCCGAATTCTAACTATACTATATCACAGCCGGCTATGACAACGAATTCTAACTATACTATATCACAGCCGGCTATGACAACGAATTCTAACTATACTATAGCACAGCCGGCTATGACAGCGAATTCTAACTATACTATATCACAGCCGGCTATGACAGCGAATTCTAACTATACTATATCACAGCCGGCTATGACAACGAATTCTAACTATACTATATCACAGCCGGCTATGACAACGAATTCTAACTATACTATATCACAGCCGGCTATGACAGCGAATTCTAACTATACTATATCACAGCCGGCTATGACAACGAATTCTAACCATACTATATAAAAAAATCAACATATTGCCCTATTGTAAAACATTCCTCATCCTAAACATTTCATTCAAAAACATGAACAAATAGCAATATCAATTAAGAAATTCCCTTCTACAGCAATGGATATGTTAATTTGTAAATGTAGAGAACTGAAATATTTTAGAACTCCTTAAATCATATGAATAAAGTATACATATGTAAGATAAGTATCAAAGGTCAAGAAACAAACCGATAATGAGTCGGAATGGACAACATTTCCAAACGGAGTGTGTCTGTAGGGTACGAATTTCCTTTTCTTATAGGACAATAATCACATATAGTCTTTTAATTATTACTTTTTGAATATTTCCCAAATAAAACGCAACACCATGACTGAACGGGCTCTTCGTGACTAAGTTGCAATAATTCGTAAGAATAGCACAATAAAACAAACGAATAGTCAGGGTTAACTCGATTTTTTCTGCTTTTAACATTAATATGCAATAATACGAACTATAGATGCTTATTTTTTTATTTTTTTAAAGATTTTAAATCGCTGCTGCCCGTGTACACGTTTTATTTAGAAAACTACAAAAAGAAGCATTACATTCCTAAATAAATGGATACAACTGTTCTCTTTAGGTCCTTTTGTGCCAAGCAGCTTCTCGTGTATACTTATACAGCATTGGCTTTCAAATCTTTAGTTTTGAAAGTGTCTGATGAAGGTAAATCCATAAAATCTCTTTGGCCGCATCAAATATTAGTTACTCTCATACACTAATAATGTAAAAGACTTGTGCAACTTAGGAAAATATATATTTAGAGCACTGAAGCTCAGAAATGACTGTTTTCAGTAAGTTGATTTGTAATTCATTTGTTACATATATTTGCTTTTTGGAATTATATTTATAAGTATTTATTTTTTGTGTATTTAATACTTCTGTCTGTTTTGTCATGATCGTATATTTTTGTAATCTATATTTAGTAAAAATTGATTATACATGTACCTATATGTTGTAAAACATTTGGTTAATAAAGAATTGATTTACAAATTTTTCTATTTTTTTCTTTCCAGGCATATAATAAAACAATGTGTGAATTGTGGTAAGAATGACGTAGTTATTTTTACTGGTAGTGGTTCTACGTCAGCCTTCCATAAATTAGCTTGGGCTTTAAAGATTAATTTGCTTAGAGTGGCAGAGGAAACGGTAAATACTAAATTATTAAGTTTTGGACTGGCTTTACTCAAAGTTCAATTAAACATTTCAAGAAAACCACTCGTAATCAGTTCATGCATGAAACATATACTATATTTGTTAAAGTCATATGATTCCTTCAAATTTAACAAAAAAGACGATTATGTTTTATATACTATAATGAAAGTTTTGCTATAAAACACGTATATATAGACTTCCTTTTTAAAGAAAATCCGTTATTTTATCCAAATCTTTAGAAAATGTACTTCTATTGAATTATTGTCTTCCCATGATGTACTGTAATTCGACATCAGGTTTTCCGTATGCAGTGACCTTAATCAATCATGACATCTCTCGGTAGAAATTCAGCAATCGCACAGCACAAGTGCAAAGGGGGGAAACCGTGATGGAAGAAATAGTAATCCTATCTGAAAGAATTTTTGTTACACACCAAATCATCAAGTGTCTTTTAAGTGTGTATATATATTTGTTTATTGGTACTGTATAATTACAGATAGTCCAAAATCCCCCATACCAAAAATAATTCAACATAAATAAGAATATATTAAAACATGAATACATATCGAAATAAACATTTCATACAAAAAAATGCTTCTGTTTGTCGTTTGTTTGCTACATATCATTGATCTATTTCTATTTATAGCTCTAGATGAATTTTTTGTGATGGTTCAACTTGGTTGCCTTTTGATTTCATTTTCTTCATAAGTTATATTCTATGCTCGTCAATATTTGCCCTTTCCCATCTTTTATATACTGATTAACGACTAATATTGACGACAGAGTATTCTAAGATTAAGGTATCATATCTGAGTTTCTTGTTTAGGTTGTGATAGTTGGACCATATGAGCACCATTCTAACACACTCCTTTGGAGGGAGTATGGAACACAAGTTAGTATAGGACTTTAGCATAAATTTCAATAAAATGTTTAATCTAAGTATGATAAACATATTTTTGGTTAATACCTAAAGTAAAAAAAATCACACAATTTACATAATTTTACGTGTAATGAGTAAACAGAATATCATATTATGATTGATTGATTGATGTTTAATTTACGTCGCATCAGCACAAAAAGAAGGTTTAAAAAATAAGATGCCAATGAGACAACTTTTCACCAGAAACCAAATTATATAGAAGTTAGCAACTATAGTTCACCGTGCGACCTTCAACAATGACCAAAACCCAAACCGCATAGAAAGCTAATAAAGCCCCAGACATGACAAATGCTAAACAAACAAAACGAGAAAGCTAACGGCCTGGTTTATGTACAAAACAATATATGATATACAGCAACAAACGACAACCACCGAATTATAGGCCCCTGACTTTATGGTTTACATTCCTTATTTTTGTAACGGTATCTGCATATTTTCTCTTTTTCAAGGTTTTTAAAATTCTTTCAATTGTGTATAAATTTAGAATTTACATTTTTTAAACCTCGCTTTCTCACATTTGTAGTGTAATTGTTTTTATTTAAACACAGGTTGTTCGTATTAGAGATGATGAAAATGGTTATGTTGATACTAAACATCTTGAAGAGGAATTGAAGGTAACATAAAATAAGATCTTTCTAATAGTTTGAATAAAATTGTATATACAAGCAAACAATCCTTGAGAAGCAGACAATACAATTGGACAGAACCGATCAGCATTACAAAACAAAGGGCTTTAAACAAATAATACCTAATTTCCTATAATATACATGTACATGTTGGTAGAGAGTTGTCTCATTGGCAATCATACCACATCTTCTTATCTTTATATGTAGATATGTAGTACTAGTACCATATTCATCCATGCTAAAAGTTCATGGACGAAATTCGTTTATTTTTTTTCAGTTTTGGAAAGAGAAAAGGCAACACGTTTTAGTAGTGATGTCAGCGTGCAGTAATGTGACGGGCATTGTAACAGACACAGATACTGTAGCAGTGTTAGCACACAGTCATGGGGCTTTAGTCGTATTTGATTATGCATCTGGAGGTTAGATCAAATGATACACGAATAGCTTTGTTATAGTTATACTGAGTGCCAATGTAGAAAAGCAACAATCATTTTTTTGCATGACAATAGAAATGTAAAATACATACTAAAGTATGCACCCATTCATTATTTACACACCCTACAGTTAAGTACAATGCTTTACTGGAAATAAAATGAAGTAGACGATTTACAACACTTTCAAAAGAGGAAATCTTGGACAATCATAGCTCGGTATATTTTCCTTTTGAATTTCAACCAAATCTTCCTTCAGTCTACTGGTTACTCAAATTCCATAATTGTCCTTAAAAAACAACGTTATATTGCTGTGTCTGACAAATGATAATAACTCTATTTCAAAGTGATATATATATATAAATATTTAATAACTAAGGTATATATATATATAAACAATGTTACAGAAAATCTATTTACCTTTAATTAAGGTCCTTATCTGAAAATGGACATGAATTCATCAGAAAAAGGGTAAGCCATTTGTTTAATCGCATTCAAAGTTATAACAACATTTACCTATATGTATAGATAAGTTTAAGGATAGTTTTAATAGAAATTATCGCCAAAGACATTGTTAAAAATAAGGCAAACATTTCTTTTTAGTTTGTGAAACTTTAATAGTCGATAGCAAACTTGAAATTTTCGTCTCGCTTGTGACGAATGCCTCAAAATGCATAACAGTTGTGTGTTTGGTGGTGACGGCATTAAATATGAGACAACAGGTCATGTAAGCTTTGTGTATAAAGAAAGAAAACGAATGATAAGATTACCGTGCGTACAATAATTTTTTTAGAAAAAAAATCTTCTGTGGGTTTACTCGGGGACCAAAAGTTTGGGAACCAACTACCTTAACGTTATAGACTTTCAAGACGGTCTTAACAAAACGTGAATCGCCTAAGGTCAACTCTGCCTGCCGGATTTACATCTTTCACATAGTTTTACGTAACTGCATAACATAAATAAATGTTTGCTGAAAAGTTTTTCAACCAAAGTTTGATATATAGATAGCTAATAAAGTTTGTGATCGACGCTTAGTTTGTATTCTCAGATCAGTATCTAGTAACTATGTATGACCTATTTGTCAACAGGATTCATTCGTTACCTTTCATTAATACGTTTTTGCAGTTACAAGGATGCTATCATACTGAGTCCACATAAATTTGTTGGTGGTCCAGGAACTCCAGGTAAGTGTACAAGTCGAGGTGTAGAAGTCTTATTACAAACGAGATACCAAATTCTAATGTTTCTGGTAATAGGGTAAATTTAGATATGATCCATGTTAAATCACTGGTCATTTCAATAAACTAATTTTACATTGTAGAAAGATTTTTGGAATATTTTCAGTACCGGTATTGATTTTATTTGGTCAATAGTTTTTATTAAATACATAACTAAGCACGCACTTGTAGTATAAATACTGGCATTTACAATTTCAGGTATTCTTTTCGCAAAGAAATGGATATTTAAAAATTCTGTTCCTGATAGAACTGGAGGAGGGACTGTTTTATATGTAAGTAAATAAAATAGTTAATTTACAGATCATGCTATACAAATATATAGAACTTATAAAATTGTTTATTGGAAATAATTTGAAGTGTGCATTTTGTTTGTACAACTGCAACGGGATTACATTTCCAAGTAGACTTGTTACGTGTGTCAAACTTGCATGTATTTACATACATAATATTAAGTCAACCATTTTTGTTTTAAAGTAAAACATACTCTATGTATATAGATATAAGAAGATGTGATATGAGTGCCAATGAGACAACTCTCCATCCAAGTCACAATTTGTAAAAGTAAACCATTATAGGTCAAAGTACGGCCCCCAACACGGAGCCTTGGCTCACACCGAACAGCATGTATTTATTATTCTACCCTTAGTTTATTTATTTTGTATTTACATTGTGTCATAGGTCAAATTTATTTGTTCAGTGTATGTTCAATGGTGTTAATATGTCCTTTGATTGAGTTAAGCTATTTCAGTTGATATTTTATAGTGTGTCTTTCTATGTTGTGATGTTACACTATTGTTTCAGAAAAAGGGTGAAGGTTTGGTACCATTAAAACGTTTAAACCCGCTGCATTTGTTTGCACCTGTCCTAAGTCAGGAATCTGATGTTCAGTAGTTGTCGTTTGTTGATGTGGTTCATAAGTGTTTCTCGTTTCTCGTTTTTTATATAGATTAGGCCGTTGGTTTTCCCGTTTGAATGGTTTTACACTAGTAATTTTTTGGGGCCCTTTATAGCTTACTTTTCGGTGTGAGCCAAGGCTCCGTGTTGAAGACCGTACTGTGACCTATAATGGTTTACTTTTTTAAATTTTGACTTGGATGGAGAGTTGTCTCATTGGCACTCATACCACATCTTATATCTATGTCTATAACGGACTACAGATATGCAAATTGAGTATGTTAGAATAAATCAATTCACCGTTCAGCAGTATAAATAATTAGAAATTAAATTGTATTTATCTAAAAGGTGACGAAACAAACGCATTGGTATAGCAGTAATATAGAAGAACGAGAAGAGGGAGGGACACCAGATATCATCGGCTGTATAAGGGCAGGACTGGTGTTTCAACTGAAACAGGCATGGTTTTTTATAAATACATTGAAATACAATCAATTTCATTAATATTTCTTTGAAAATGGTATCCAAAATATTGAACAAGAACCCTTTTTTAATTCTATATTGACTGCATTTGAATAAAAACTCATCAACGTGTCTTCTTTACAGCAATGAAAATATCGAATAAGATTTCTACTTATGATGATGCATTTTATGAGATAAGAAGTTGATTATCAGATGGTATTCTTTATATTGTAGAATGTGGGAACAGATATAATACATCATAGAGAGGAAGAATCTTGTCAGTATGTAGAATACTTACAAAAAATGAAAACAATGGTGTGGATGCTATGAATTTAGTATGAACTGAGGGCATGTGGGTATACGTCAATGAGAGAACAATCCAACAACACAAAAAACCCAAAAGACATCAAACTTTTCATTTTTTAAGTAAAGATTAATCAAATTTTGGGTTGAATCTCCTAAAACTTGCTAGAGAATATCATTGGGAACACTAACCGGTCACCGAGAATTGTATCGACTCAGTTTTAGATTAGAGTAAATGTAAATTTATAGTATAATATACATGTATGTTGTTTTGGTTTGCATGTTCTAAAGGATGGTCATGTATTGGAAACATCAACTGTAGTAAGACAAAGCAGGAGAAAACATTTCTAGTTTTTCAAAATGTGGTTTGCAACTAAATACATTTCACATACATGACAACCTCGAATTATAAATTGCACACGACCCGACAAAAAGTGACATTATCTTTATAGATACTTGTCTCCTAATAAAATTTTGTGAAGTATAGGCTATGATGATGACCGTGTTCTTTTGTTGAGAATTACATAAATTTAGTTTATCAGCGTCACTTATCTTTAGTTAAACACACAACAGTTGAATACGACGACAGCCTAACAGTCTTATGAGAGGGGAAAGCTTATTTGCCAACTTTTTGCTCAGCGTAACAAAGTTTTACTGCTGATAACACATTGGATAAACACTGTCATAGATCCTGTGTGTTCACCATCATCTATATGAGGATTCGTCAAATTCTGTATGCTTTAATTTTGAAACCATTTTTAACCGGATTTTCGAAGGAAAAATCGGTTATTAATTTGGGGATGTACGGCGGGCGGGCAGGCGGACGAAATCTTTTCAAAGTTAGATATGTTGTTTCCTGTGACTAAATGAAGGTCAAGTTCAATTTTCACGATTTTAGCTTTTCTCGTTGTTGAGTTGTAGACCTTTCAGTAGCGAAAAGTGATATTTATTATATGATTTATTTTTATTTTGAGTTATTTCCCTTTGAACAGAAATGGCGTTATTAATAAGTATATGTCAATGATTGTATGTGTTCAATTGATTTTACTCAGGAGTTGTAAAAAAATTCTTTATAACTATTTTTTTTTTAAGTCATGTGTGTTTTGAAGATAGATTTCACAGTTATTATGTGGTATTTTATTTTTGTTGGGTGAGTTAATGTTTAATTTTTACTTGATCCTGTTTGGGGGTCCAGATTTGCAAATATCTTTTTCATTGGATAATAATCTATTTTTATTAAAGGATATATTTCATTACATTACATTGTGTAGATAAGGTGTTGACATTGTAAGATAAGTTGCAGATATTAGTTTGTGACAAATGAAAGAAAAAATATTGGGAACTATTAATTATATATATTAAGTTTGATTACACTAATAACAAACATGTGGTAATTATCAATCACAATTATATTTGGAGTGACAGATTTATTTGAAAAATTTGTTTTTCCTAAGTTTGGTTGATGATAAGCTCTGTAGGACAGTATAATTATAGTTTTAGATTTACTGTTCATTATTAGACATTTTGAAGATGATTACAGATAATTTTTATAGATTTTTAAAAGACATTGTATTAAGATATTTTGGAGAAAAAAAAATCTTTTCCTTGGTAAATTATTTGAAGAATTTTGTGATAGGTTTGTTTGTTATTCTGTATAAATTAATTTTCTTAATGCTATATATATTTTTTTTACTTGATCCTGTTTGGGGGTCCAGATTTGCAAATATCATTTATATGCAGGAAAATGCGGTTTGCTGTCACTCTGACAGCCTCTTGTTCTCTATTCTTTAGAAAGTTTGTCCATTATTCTCTATTTTATATATTTTAGCCACTATTATTCTCTATTCTTTTTTTTATTATTTTTTCTTATCCTTTTTTTTTGGCCTATTTTTTCTATATTATTGACCCATTATTCTCTATTCTGTAAACCCCATACAGACCCTCCTATATCTGACATCATTGCCAGTTTGTCACTGTCATGGCAATATCACTTGTCCTTTGGTATTAAGGTTGATGAACCCATATTCCAGATATTCTTATTCTGCCGACGAAATGGTCTCTCATTTCGTTAAGAGGTGGTCATTAGATTTTACATGCGTTATATCCCAAATGTCCAGTGTCATATATCTGACATTATTGCCGGTTTTATCATTGTCATTGCATATACAAGGGCCTTTTGATGTTACGGATTAAGCATATATAGCAAGAGATGTTAATCCGTCGACGTACGTGGTGTTACTTCGTAAAGAGGTCAATAGATTGGGACTGTCCAGATCCCCTGTAGGATTATCGCGGGACTTCAAATGTCATCGCTGTAGTTTTCAGATAGTTTGCAGTATCTCGATTTTGCCTTGTGATATGGAATTTCTGATTACAAAAAAATCATTTAAGGGACTGTTATGTCTGACATGTTTGATTTATTTGTCACGTTACTATGGGTTTGAGCATTCCAGATGAAGGTAAAGCCAGAAAGCGTTCCGGACGCACCACATTTGATTAATTTAAACGTAATTTAAACCAAATTATATACTATTATTATTGCTCGTCATTCTTAATATAGATTCAGTATTGTAATTTGAATTTGACTTTAATTATTTTTACAGGAAAGCTTTCAATATCTGGTCAGTTAATCCGAGTATTCATATATTGGGAAGTCAAACTGCAAATCGAATACCAATATTTTCTTTTTTGACTATCCACCATGCTACCGGTAAACTTGTTCATCATAATTTCATTTCATTATTGCTGAATGAATTGTTTGGGATACAAGCTAGAAGTGGCTGCGCATGTGCAGGTCCATATGGACAGGTAGGTTTAGAACAGTGGTGGACTATATTTTCAATTATATAAAACGTAATTATAATACATAAAAAGGATACTTGGAATAATGAAAATATTGGACAGTACAACAAACTACATAAACACCCGATGACTTCGAAAAACAAAACCCAGCCTACAAATAAAAACAAATAAAAAACAGCAACAATATATTTTCCAGATAGACTGACTTGATACATGCACAAACTGTGTTTTGTTAAACTAGTTTGGCGCTTGCGCAAACATCCCTCTTTACATATCTAGACCATAGATTGTACAAATAAAACACAGCATAAAAAAATGCACAGTCCAGATAACACCATGCAGAATGACCACTATCTTGAACAAGGAAAGAAAAGACGATACTTAGATTGGAAGCAGGATACAAATGTTTTTGTTACTACAAGAAGCTAGGTTAGATGTCCACAGCTGCTGGTTGAGAACTGCCGTACAAGTGGATGATGATAAGAAACTACACACACTCCTACCAGGTTCCATCATGTATTATCATAACATATATAATTAAAATTAACAATATTTGTGAGAAGTCAGTAAGTATTTAAAATTGGATGAAAGAACGATTCTAAAGTATCGGTTAATATACCACGTATGTTACTCTTGGCTTCCTACAGTCTTAGTTCAAAAGTGTTTCTCCTATTGGAAATCCCCCTTTATTTCATATAAAAACACATTTTTAATAAAAATTCTACTGAAGATTTTTCTTGTCTTAAGTTAAAATTGAATGCTTATGAATTTGTGAGAAAAAACTAGAAGAAGAAATATCTTTTTGAATATTGTTTCAAAATTTCTTGTAGGATTTGCTGGGCATATCGGAACCTCTAGCAAAAAAATTCATTACTTATCTACAAGATAAACGTCCGGGGTTCGTATAAAAAATACTATAGGTTCATGTCTTCTTCTCTTATAACAACTGATTGGTTGAATTTATAGTTTGTTTTATGCCCAGTGGCTTATATTTTATTATATCTGAAGGAGACAAAATAAACAATAAGTGCAATAAGTAAAATATGCAGAGCGTGTTGAGCGAGTGTGATGAAGGCTGATAGTTTTGACTACCAATTATAAAAGAGGGCATGATTGATAGTGGCTAGAAATTTGCTTTGTCACCAATCCGACAAGACATATCTACCTATTAATAAATTCCGGGAAGTAAAACTGACGACTTATCCCTTGAGAATGTGCTTTACTGCCAAAAGGGAAATATTGTTTTATGTTGAAGACGAGTAATTTCGAATTGTTAATGTAATGCAATATCCACCGAATAATGATGTCCGGCTGTTCCATCAAACACAAAGGAGTAAGTAGTTTCTTTTCCAGTATCGGCACTTGTTGCTTTGGTCATGACAAATACAATTCCAATGACAAGTCGGAGACCCGACAGATGAACAGTTTTTACAGCGGATGACCGTGAGGACAGTCCGGTGTTATGTTGCCACAGACATTTCTACCCACGCGACTTGCGTTTTTGACTGATAACCGAACGTATTTCGTATAATTACGAGTATGTTATCGAGTGCAAGATAACATTCCTTCTCTAATTCTTCGTCAATTTATCCCTTTCTGCACCCATTGTATAAAAAAAAATTTAATCAACGTGTGGTTCGTTTGATCTCAGTTCTTCATTGGTTAAAATCCGATTATGACGTCGAATTTTCTTGCTTTCCTCTGAATTTCCTATTGTGACGGCATGAAAATAGGCGACCATGCCTGATGACGTCACATAGAAAGAACACACCTTTTTGCAGATCATTCGAAAAGAAGGAATAAATTTGACTGCGTATTGTTTGAAAATCATTAGAGAAACAGATTCCACCACCAAATCTCGTGTAATACGATATTTATCCACTCTCGACAGTTAAATTTTAAATATTTAAAACGCTCGGCGAGCCTCGCGTTTTAAATTTGAAAATTTAACTGTCTCGAGTGGATAAATATCGTATCACACTCGATGCAGTGGTAGAATCTATATTTATCGCCTTTTTTGTTATATATTAATTTCATCGATAAATATTCATGAAAATAATTTTTAAGAACATAGATAAATGATATGAAAATTTATCATATATTTAGTACAAAATACAGCAATTTTGTAAATCTAATAAAGGTTCTTTTTTCCAGTCTGTATCACCTACCCTGTATCGCATACCCTGTATCGCATAGCTAAACCCGTATCGCATACCCCGTATCGCATAGCTAAATCCGTATCGCATAACTGGCGTGACGTCAGAAATCAAATGACGTCAACGTTTGACGTATGACGACCAGTTGCTGTATTTCCGGGCACAGGAAAAAAGTAAGTTCCCACTCAAGAAATATCATATCATTTCAACTAAAATCGTTTTATTTTCAAAAAAAATGTTACCCAGTAACTTTATAAGCGATTTTTATAAAATAGATACAATAAGTTTTTTAGTGGGAACTCACTTTAGTCCAATGACTGTGTATATAGGAATCCCCTGTTTGTCTGTTAATAATCTTTGAATAGATGATACTTGGTAACATTGTTGTCCATATTTATGTATACAAATGAGTTCAGATTATAGTATAATGATTAAACTTTACAACAAATATTGGGAACGTGGGTTGTATTCTATATTTTGTTTGTTATATTTTCGGACGATTTAAAAAAAAAGTATATCACATTAATCTGATTCTATTTAAATATATGATAAACAGAATAACACATGACAAAATCCGTATCGCATGCTGTATCACCACTCGACCAATATCAGACCTCGGGACCTTCGACCCTCGTGACTGATATTGGTTTCTCGTGGTGATACACGCGGCATGCGATACGGATTTTGCCATGTATTATTCTATATGTATTGCAGTCGGGAGAAATATATATGTATAAATAACAAATCAAGAATACCGAAAATTTGATTAAAATTTGTGTTAACGCATGCGGAAGAATATCTCAAGAACGTTTTGCAACAAACGCGGGAAAATATGAATGCCTAGTCGAATCCAATCTATGATAATCTATTAGAAAAACGAATTATTACAGAAGAGTGTCCACCATGCACTTGTACTGCACTATCATTAGAATAGTAGAATAGAATGATATACAAATGGATGTAAATTATATATAACTGTTATACACATATTAATTTAATATATAACAACAAACCAGAGTATACTGATAACAAATGATTATATCACTACAATATAATAGTTATTACAGTGAGGTTAAATTCCCTGTCATTTATTCATCATCCACACACGAACTTGTCTCTTAAAAAATATATCTACGTACCTTAACCTAACTTTCAGGTATAGAGATGTGATTTTTTTTTCTGAGACAAGTGCCTGTGACCATCCACCAGAACTTGCGGTCATCCTATGTTCAGTACTTCAGTACTTTGATTATACATGAAATCAAGTTATAATTACTTAAATGTGAAAAGGGAACATTATTTTGTTAGATTATTACTTTGTTATTAATCAGTTTTTTTTAAAAAGACAATCCGGTACATGTTTAAATGTTTCTATGAAAACCTAATGTTTCACCATTGCTGTGACAGAGGGTAACTTTGTTATTATCGTTTTCTGTATACCATTGTATTGTCAGATGTTATCGGAATAAACTTATGTTGAAGAATTTTGATTTAGTTAAAATAAAAAGTAAAAAAAAAGAAACAAGCCACAGAGGCCAAAACAAAAATTCAACTAGGCAAGCACCGGAGACTCAACTAGGCAAGCACCGGAGATTCAGCTAGGCAAACAACGGAGACTCAACTAGGAAGGCACCGGCGATTCATAATAACATCAACGATACCAATATCCTGCACCAGATGCGTATTTCTACAGTAAATGTCTATTCAGTTCGAGGCCAAAATATTTGAAAAACCAAAACAAATACAAACGTTGAAGAGGTGATCAAACCAATAATAATCTAAAATATCATGGCTAATCCAGACAACAAATCAAAGCTGTGCACGAGAGAGTTCTATATTCTACAAGCTACGATCACTGCCACGCACATTCTACAATTTAATGACATTATTTTATGACAATTGTATATAGCCATTTGACATTTAGATCTGTTTTACATAGGTACGAGAAGAATGGGCCAACAAAACTGGAAATACTTAAGTAAGTGATTTTGTTGATATTGTAACAAACTCAAACTCAAGAATATCACAAAGATGTACATCTAGTGTATATCACACCAGAACAAATAACAACAATTCTGCATTTGTTTTAAAATTCTATTCTTTCTGTTTGCATGGTTGCAACTTCCTAACTGCATAGAGAGGTGTTACGTTTTCTTTTAGGTTCCCATGTAATATTACAGTAAATTAGTAAACGAGGTTGATGGGACATTTTAACTCACCACCAATCATATCAAAAAAAATTTTTTTAATATCATAGCTGTACATTTTCCATTATTTTCCCTACTTTTGTTTTGTTGTATTCGTTCTCATCACTTACCTTGTTTTTCATATTCCAATTGACCAATCACCCTCGTCCCATTTTTTTCGACGCTATTTATTTAGTATCCTCTACTTGTTATTTATCTATTATGATACATGCAGATGCCGATAAAAGCACTATGAACATTGGAACTTGGTCACTATGTCCTTAGTGCGTATAATATTTTGTAGTTCTGTCTAATATCATTAGTGTCACTCGTAAATGGGATTGATATGTTTATAGGTAATGTTTTATACTGTATTGTAACTGAATTTTTTCAACAAGTTGCAGGAAATGATAACGAAAAGTTTTTTTTTGCTAGGCGTTTTTATAAGTGCAAGATAAAAAAGTTAAAATATGTATGCACAATTTTGTTTTAAACACTACCCTCATTGGCTATTTTTGGTAAATTGATAAATCGAGCCCCATATTAACATATTTGATTTTCAAAAGGACTTTTGTGATCTTCTGGTCTGTTTACACGACCGACCTTATGAAGACCAAAAGCCTTCAAGAATGATTTGTTTATCTGAGGAGAATACTGTTTTTTTTATTGTTTAGAGTGTCATTTAAATGAAAGTTTGATATACCGAATTTGAATATACCAAATTGCCAATTTGAACAAGGAAATAAATGATGCCACCACATAATTCGGAAGGTAGAGTAAAAAAGTAATCGCAACTATTGAAGGCTATATATAAGGGAACAATCATAGCTGTCGCTCAAGAAAAGTAAAAATGTCCTCAGATGTTAAATGTCTCATCATAACATTGAAATCGTTAGTATTTTATATGTCTACTTCTATGTTTATATTTAATTTAACTCATTGATTTGACTAATTTAGTTTTATAGTTTTTCATTATGTTAGATATAATATATTTATATATTTGTTAATTAGACCAGGATTCACCAGACTTAATCTCCCATACTTTTATGACGATGAGCACATAAATTATATAATACAAGCGGTTGACATGGTTACAAAACATGGATGGAAACTTTTACCTCAGGTAAGGCAAAATATTTCACAGTCTTTGACATGCTGTTGTTTTGATATAAGCTTCTCTCTGAATCTAAATAATATACCAATGCTCTCATTGGGGATAAGAAAAATACTGGTTCGTGTTTCTCAGTCTTTATTTTTTTCTATGTTGTTGTCTGTGCGTCGTTTTACTTTCCCCCCATACCGCATAGCAAGTTGATAATACTTTCATATGAAATATAAACTGATAGTATGTGTTCTCATTAGGAATAAGAACTGGCAATGCGTTCATTGGTGATATAGGCTTACAATGCTTTCATTGGTAATATAGGCTAACTGCTTTCGTAAGTGATATACGCTAACTGCTTTCATCAGTGATATAAGCTGACACAGCTCTCGGTGTATATATATATATATAAGCTTATAATGCATTTTTTTTTATTTTAGCTGACACTGCTCTGTTAGCTACCAATAATTTGCTTGTGATATCGCCGAATGCGACTCATCGCCGTAATTTAACTTACGATGAGTAACACGATGGGTGCCACTAGTGGGGTAGGAACTGATTAATCTCCCGGATCACCAGAGTTCATCCCTGGCTTTTGGAGGGATTTTTGTTGCTATTTTTTTTTCAGTGTAATGTAGTGTTTTGTTATTATTGTTAGTCTTTTCTTTAGTCATGGTGTCGTCTGTTTTTGTTGGACTTATTGACTACCCCCTTTGGTATCGTCTCGCTCTTAGATAACAAAGTTAAACGTTTATATATTTGGTCAGTTCTGACTGGGCCCTCTTACTTTGAAGTTTGTCACTTTCCTGAATTATGTCTTTTGTGTTTCCTTTACTTTGAGTTAAAATTTATCAATAAGTAAGAAATGCAAAAATCTGTTTTAGTGACTATATTTAGTATGAATAATTTAATCCATTTATTTAGATGTGTTATATTGTCCTTTGCATTTTTTTTATTAGAAAATATCAATTACATTGAAAGAATTACAACAATATATAGGATCGAATTGTGATAGCAATAATTTCTTAAATGTTACAGGACCAAAAGTACAAAAAAAAATATTTTAGCATTTTCGGGTATATTAAAGCAGTTAAATTTGTCTTAATTGTGGTCAATATTTTCTGTTTATTTGCCATTAGTATACTTTCGATGGGCAGTCTGGAACTTGGCATCAAAGAGCAGAAGGTCATATGGACGTAAATACACTTATTCGTCTACGAGATCTTGACTTCAATAACAAGAGGCATTTAGACTTGACGAAGAACTCAACAGTCAAGAAAGGACCTTCATTTAAAGTAAGCGCTTCAAATATAAACCAACGATGACGATTTTATGTAACGTCAAGTATTCCTGTAATAACCCTCTTCGTGTGCACTTTGAACCAAACGATTCAGTTTGGAAGCCAAGTATATATATAACGTTGGGGTCATACTTACAAAAAGATCAAGAACAGAACAAATAAAATTCGTCCGTCTTATTTGCTTGAAAAAGCTATAATGATTTTTTTTATACAATTACAAAGCAGTATTTTAACCTTTTAAAGCAAATCTAGCCGTTCCAAAATTAATTGTACCTTGATTGCTATCCATATTACTTATATAAAATGCAAAATTTTATTATACTTAAAACATTGGAGACATCGAAAAATGTGCACAAGACAATATATTCAAGTTATATTTCCTACATTGTTTGTCATTATGTCACAGTGAAAAAATGACAAAAATTGATTATGAGACTTTTCGGACATTTTGTAAAAGATTTTGTAAAATCACTGTTTTTGTTATATTTGCAATATTTCAATAAGGGATTTTGTTAATTTTATTGTGAAAGGTTTAAGTCAAGTTTAGAAAATTAAGATAATCTAATTTCATGTTTTAATTTGATTTTCAATTAGCGACATTTTACTTCAATTGATCTATTATTCGTAAATGTTTAATGTCTTTAATTTCATGAATAAGTCTGTATGTTCTATTGTTAATTATTATCTATGTGCTAATTTTGCTGTAATCCCTTAATTGAATTTTCTCACTCATTTAGAGAAATATTTGTCAAGTCTACTCTAGTAATTTTTGGTTTGTTATATAAACTGTTTTATTATTTTGATGTGGCAGATTGGATTTAGTATTACACTGAGCAGTTCCAACTCTGTACAATTGTATTCCATGCTGAACTTATTAAATTATACATCGCGCTAACCAGATTCTGTGTCTTTTGTTGCAAGAGCTAGTCCCAGAGTCAGAGTCCTTGCAGACTCGTCGTACTGTTTATTGTGTGTGTGTGGTTCCAGGCCAACACATAACCCAGTCACAAGATACACCCAGTTTCTATTTGTGACAATTAAATGAAACGAGATCGAGCTTGGAATCTAAGATGGACTATTTATTTTATTTGTTTTTTTATGTGAAGAATTATTTTGTGTTTTCAGGAAATTTTAAATAAAGCTCAGAAAATGTTTAAAGATACAGAAACAAGTTTAAAGGCATGTAACAAAATTAAACATATTAAATCATCGATTTTGTACACGATCAAGACACACATACATTCAACTTATTGAAAGTCCTACTTATAAAAGAGAGGCAAAAGATACCAAAGGAACATTCAAACTCACAATTCGAAAACAAACTGACAACGTCATAGCAAAAAAACGAAAAAAGACCAAAACACAAGATAGAAAACTAAAGACAGAGCAATACGAACCCCACCAAAAACCGGGGTGATCTCAGGTGCTTCTGGTGATGAGAAAAAAAATCTTACAAAATAATCAAATTGAAGGTAGGTTTTGATATACGTTTAAAACTAGCACCAAAAAATACTGTGCTTATAATTGCTTATATCCACGTCATTTGGACTCACTGCATCTCCTTATTTTAAAACTTTTCCAAGGTTAGCAACATCATCAGTGTCTCTTGTCTCTGTGAAAAAAAATACCTATATAATTTAATATAACACTAAAGTATACAGGTATTCTTTTCCTGTGTGATTTCACCCTTTTGCATATCTATATGTTTAATCCATTCACTACCTGAGATATGGTATAGACATTTAAAATATAACTTATATTGCCTCTTTAGATGTTTTATTGACGCGTTTTATGCATCTAATTCAATATTTCCATTTAAAATAGAACAGTAAAAGTTATTAGAATTTAACTAATATTATACAGATTATAAAATGCATCCTCATTTTGATGTTGAATTGTTATAAATATTGTATTGTGGAGAAGATACCATAGTCAACGTTCAAGAGTGCAAGTATAGATACGAAATAAATCGCCGTGGCTATCTTTGTATTTTGGCTTCTTAAAGTGATATTGTCTCTTGTTCATTGCTGTTCTGTACTCTTTTCAAATGTGTTTATTAAAAAAGATGTCCGACCTTGCCATGTTATTTATTTCAAACTGTTTTTTTTTTTTAAACTAAATTTCAGACCACGAATGTGTCAGATACAAGATTTTCAAGAGATACTCTGCCTCGAGAGCGGCATTATCGCTGGTTTGTTACGCCAGAAGAAGCTACAAAGATGTTGTCAAGTACTGACCTCCCAGTTCTAGGATTAAAGAAAAGAAGATACAAGTAAGGTGTATTTTCATGATAATCTGAACAGTTAAGTTAAGCTATTGATTGATATAGATTACACTTTGAACTAAGAACTTCTATACATACTGGATGTATTCACTTTATGTGATTCTAGTGTACCGTAGTACATAGAAATCATACAAAGGCTCTAAACTGCTGTTAATACTTCAGGTATATGAACAATAGTAAGAGAATTTCATAGAACGATGTAGGAATCAGCTTCATATCGGGTTTTAAATAATATATATGATTCCAATTTCCGTACACCCTATTCATGTTTCTGAATAATCTTCTTTTTAGTAAACTCGACACCCGATTTATGTTTCTGAATAACCATCTCAGTAAACTCGAAACCACCCTATTCACGTTTCTGAATAACCTTCTCTCTACAGTAAACTCCAAACCACCCGATTCATGTTTCTAAATAACCTTCTCACTACAGTAAACTCCAAACTACCCGATTCATGTTTCTAAATAACCTTCTCACTACAGTAAACTCGGAACCAATAGTTTGGAAAGCCAAAATATCTTCTTATTGGCAAATAATCCTATATAGCATATTTAGTGGCTAACGGAATTATACAAATATGGTTCAGGAAATTTTCTAAGTAAACCATGGTTAAACTTTACATGAATAACTATTAGGCCGATAAATAAAATCCTTTCGTTTTATTTTTGCATTTAGTGATTTATGATTGATATCTTTTCTACAGACATCCATTTAAAGCAGTGCAAGAAGCTGTCTTAGGATCACGCAATATTGATAGTACAGAAACATTTCGCAAAGGACACACGACCGACAGATCTGAGAAATCTACTGGTAGCAAAAATTCAAAAGACAGCAATAATAACAGTGAATCAGATGTTTTTGTAAATGCCTATGGAACAGACGACAAAAAGGGGACTTCCTTTACCACTAAACAGGTTACTTTGAAAAAACGATTTCATAGTGACTCCGATGTTCTTAATAATATTGAACCAAGGAGTGTCAGGCATAGCAGTAGGGTTAAAAAAGATTTCTAAAAGAAGAAGGAGAAAAAGAAAGTTTTATTTTCCTATTACGTGCATGGAGATGAAGATATTTAACATCAATGATTCAACAGATGAACCCATTAAGTTACATACATTCATAACGAAACGAACGATATGTATAAGCTTCAAAGTAGAATAATTACAGATGTATGTTTCATTATTATACGTTATTTTGATTGGCTAACAGCAATCTCGCGTCATTCTTCATTTCAAAATGAATTGCATGAATTGAAACATACATGATGACACATGTTTCCACAATAAAGTGCACAGGTAAATAAAAGAAAAACTTGATAGTAATCGTGTTTTCATGATCATAGCGAAAAAATGTAATTATAAGTATTGAATGCTTCTTTTAGTAATTTCATAGGGTTGTAAAAGCGTTGACCGTGCGTACATTTTTAGAATGAAGCGCTTTCGCGCTTCATACAAAATGTACTTTGGTCAACGCATTTACACCCCCAATGAATTAACAAAAAGAAGCATTCAATTCTTAAATAAATACTTAGTAGTACATTATACAATATGCTACCAAAGAAATGGTGTGACATAGCTCCATAATTTCACTCTTGTATATGTGCAAAAATAACTAGTAACTAGTATCATTGCGTATATATCATGTGTAGTTCATATTTGTTCAGTAATGATAATTTGGCTGTAATCATAAAAACTAAGATAAATTATTAACGAGACAGACAAACAAATTTATTAGTTGTAATTGGCTTTGAACTAGCTTTCAGTAATTGCAGGTACTCCTTTTTCGATGCTTTGCGTCTATTGTTTTTATGTTAGTTGTTTTTGTGCCTCGCATCGATTTTTCGGTTAGCCAATTGCAACTGGTGTTTGCTTTTATGCTCTTATGCTAACAAACATGTTTAACCCCGCCACATTCGTTATGTGCCTGTCCCAAGTCAGGAGCCTGTAGTTCAGTGGTTGTCGTTTTGTCATGCCTGTCATAATTGTATTTCATAAATTGTTTTGTTATGAATTAGGTCGTTGCATGGTTTTCAAAATTGAATTGTTTTACATTTTTTATTTCGGAGCATACGGTATGCCTTTTTTCTCATTGTCTATAATTGTTTATTTCCACTTCATTTGAAATTTGGTGGATAGTTGTCTCATTGGCAATCATACTACATCTCCTTATCTTTATAAACATTTACTTCATTAAAAAAAACTCCATTTAGAACATATGAACATACAAATTAGAAACATGAGATATCGAAATAATATACATTGTATTAGATATGACATCTATAAATGTTTCAATCTTATCTGATTAGCAACCCAGTCCTACCCGTGTAAATGTAAATGCTCTTTTGTTCCGACGTTGGAAAGTTCCGGGCGAATAGAACTAACTAGCCGAAAAGTTCCGGAGGAACTTATTAACTAGTTACTTTGTTCTTCCTCCGGTTTAAAAGTTCCACCGGAACAAAGTGACTAGTTGAAAAGTTCCAACGGAACATATCAACTAGTTAGAAAGTTCCTTTTTGCCAAATTAGTCAAAACCGGAACTAACAAACTAGCCCAAAAGTTCCAACGGAACTTATCAACCAGGCAGAAAGTTCCATTTGGAGAATTGATGCAAAGTACAAGCGCAACATATTATATTTGAACCTTTCAAAGGGAAACCAAGATACTGATTACAAAAGTCAAAAGGAACTTATCAACTAGCCACAAAGTTCCTCTTTGGCAAATAAGTCAAAACCGGAACTAACAAACTAGCCCAAAAGTTCCAACGGAACTTATCAACCAGTCAAAAGTTCCATTTGGAGAATTGATGCACAGAACCACATGAGGAGGGGGGTATTCTTCCCTCTCTTGAGGGTACTATGAATACTAAATTTGCATGATAATGCAACTTATTCCGTTTTATGTGAGCTATGAAATACAACTTAAATTTTGCATATTTGTCCCCAAAGAAACCCCTTTCAGTGCGTTGGGTATTCTTGTAATTAATGATTTGCTCTTAAATATACTGATACTCATTCTTCCCCCTCTTTCTACAAAAAGGACGAAATATGGTATATTCAGAACGATGTAACTAGTTGTTCTGTTCCGCCAGAACTATTCAACTAGCTACATTGTTTCGGGACTTTTCAACTAGCTACTTTTTTCCGGAACTTTTCGACTGCACTCGGAACAAAACAACTAGTTGGAAAGTTCCATCGAAACGAAATAACTAGTTGAAAAGTTCAGCCGGAACAAAGTAACTGACGGATCATAGTGGCTGTTACATAAACAGCAATTCATTGATGGTACCTTATTAACAGTTGACGTCAGAGGACGATACCTTGGGTACTGACTATCATTAAATGTATATATGTTAAGATATTATCCTATCCATTTCAAAAGCCCAAGTTGAAGCTTATTATATGGTATGAGTTTAGATGAAGCTTATTACATGGTATGAGTTTAGTTGAAGCTTATTGCATGGTATGAGATTAGTTGAAGCTTATTATATGGAATGAGATTAGTTGAAGCTTATTATATGGTATGAGATTAGTTGAAGCTTATTATATGGTATGAGTTTAGTTGAAGCTTATATGGTATGTGTTTAGTTGAAGCTTATTATATGGTATGAGTTTAGTTGAAGCTTATTATATGGTATGTGTTTATTTGAAGCTTATTATATGGTATGAGTTTAGTTAAAGCTTATTATATGGTATGAGTTTAGTTTAAGCTTATTATATGGTATGAGTTTAGCTAAAGCTTATTATATGATATGTGTTTAGTTGAATCTTATTATATGGTATGAGTTTAGTTGACCTTTGAAGGCCGTACGGGCACCTGTAGTTATTCAAATCTTTGTCATCATTTGATATGTATGACTGATTGATTGTTGGTTGTTTAACGTCCAGTGGCAAATATTTGATGCATGTTCAGGATCTGTATGGATTGTTGTCTTCTTTACAATCATGATCAAAACTATCCATGTTTTCAAACAATTTTGAAACGGTGTCATGTTTCTTAGTCAATTTCCTTCATGCTTTTAAAAAAGGTTAAACTACCATGTAAATTCGCTGTGGTCGTGTTTAGAATAACGTTTGTTATTTTGATGGACGTAGTATTCATATAATAACGGAAGACTATCAAATAAATGATTTTGACATCATGAAATGAAACTGCATGATACCAAAGTTCACTTTGATGCACCGTTTGCGCATTTCAAAATTGTATTTTTATCAGTGGTGGTCAGGATCAATTATTAGAAATCCTAAAGTATCTAAATTTGAAGAGCAATACATCAACAGGAACACATAAAATTGAGCAATAATAACGATTCACAAATGTAAGGAGTTTAAATGGAGGTATGATTCTCGTTGGTGTAATAAGTTGTAATATGCCAACGTAGTTCACAAAGACAATAAGTTTTAAAAGTTGGATATAGCTAAACTTATTGGCCAATGTTATACTTATTTTATGTCCTTTTTGGTCATGTATCTCTTTAACTGTTTCGGTTCTTATACATCCTTGGCTTTCAAATATTCGTCTTTGAGCATTTCTGATGAAGGAAAAACCACAAAAGTGCTTCGGACGCTTGAAATTTATAAAGTGTTTTTTATTTAGAACTATTTGTAGTACCGTATTTTGATTCTGGCACTAATTTCATCGTGTTTTTTTAACTTTTAATGGAGATGCTATATATTGCATGTGTTGAATGTATTGATATCTTATGCTATTAATGTCGATGTGTGTTTTATGTATTAGATGTAAGCCTCTCAGATATCTTATGCTATTAATGTATATGTGTGTTTTATGTATTAGATGTAAGCCTCTCAGATATCTTATGCTATTAATGTCTATGTGTGTTTTATGTATTAGATGTAAGTCTCTCAGTTATCTTATGCTATTAATGTCTATGTGTGTTTTATGTATTAGATGTAAGCCTCTCAGATATCTTATGCTATTAATGTCTATGTGAGTTTTATGTATTAGATGTAAGCCTCTCATATATCTTATGCTATTAACGTCTATGTGTGTTTTATGTATTAGATGTAAGCCTCTCAGATATCTTATGCTATTAATGTCTATGTGTGTTTTATGTATTAGATGTAAGCCTCTCAGATATCTTATGCTATTAATGTCTATGTGTGTTTTATGTACTAGATGTAAGCCTCTCATATATCTTATGCTATTAATGTCTATGTGTGTTTTATGTATTAGATGTAAGCCTCTCAGATATCTTATGCTATTAATGTCTATGTGTGTTTTATGTATTAGATGTTAGCCTCTCAGATATCTTATGCTATTAATGTCTATGTGTGTTTTATGTATTAGATGTAAGCCTCTCAGATATCTTATGCTATTAATGTCTATGTGTGTTTTATGTATTAGATGTAAGTCTCTCAGATATCTTATGCTATTAATGTCTATGTGTGTTTTATGTATTAGATGTAAGCCTCTCAGATATCTTATGCTATTAATGTCTATGTGTGTTTTATGTATTAGATGTAAGCCTCCGAGATATCTTATGCTTTTAATGTCTATGTGTGTTTTATGTATTAGATGTAAGCCTCTCAGATATGAGAGGATTAAATCTGATTTACATAGACCAGAGACATTATATGTCTCTGCATAGACGTAATAAATAAATAGTTTAATCTTTTCTCTTGTTCTAAAAAGAGCAATTAGTTTTGATAAAACAGGAAATGTGTCATTATCTCAAATTTTCTAGATGCAGTAACACTTTCAGAAGATGTTTTGTAGTTGTGGATTTGGAATGAAATCTTAAGTGCAGTCTATTTTAAAGTTGATAAATGATAACACTTCTATATAAATGTATATGTTGCTTTGCTTTATATGTTGCATGTATTTATTGATATGTGCTGCTTGTATTAATTGCATATGTTGTGTATGTACATATGTTGCTATTCAATGATTGGTTCTGTTATTTTATTCTATATCAGTCGGTTAAAGAGCTCTAAAGATATCATGTTCTATGTTCATTTGTATATATATGAACACCCGACTTTAAATAAAGATTACTTTACTTTACTTTAATTTACTTGTACATGAAAAAGACATAAAGTGATTTAAAATATGTACATTGTTATTTATGTAGAGGAGAACAGTTGGTGTCATCAATTTGTGGTAACATGCATGTTCCAGTTTATTATTGTCTGAGGAAATAAAACGACTATTTTTAACTTTCTTTTGAGGTAGGTATATTTGCCGAAATGTTTGCGGTTATGTGCTTTTCTTGTTTTAGTATCTGTTGGTATAATGACTAGCAATGGAATTGCAATGAGTCCATGGGTGACTTCATAAAACATAATCAGTCTGGTTTTATGGCGGCGCTCAGCACGTAAGAGCCATTCAAGATTGTTTATCATAGTTGAACACTACTGCTGTTATGGTAGTAAGTATAGCTTTTGTGGATCCCATAAACTACAGTTGTATTCAAGTGTTGGTCTCACTATGGATTGGTATTCACGGGATTTGGTAATGGTGTTTGATATTTTTAGGTTTCTCTTCAGGAAGTCAAGAGATTTGTTTGCACTTGATATGATATTGTCGTAGTGATTGTTCCATTTTAAATTTGACTGTAAGGTTACACCAAGGATTTAACATCAGCTGAAATCTCGATGCTTAAATCGTCATGTTGAAGAAAGGCTCAAGTTTTAAGTCTTCCATCTGTGTCAATATCAAGAAATAGTTGCAGAAATGAAGCAGACCTTCTTGTTTCGGTAGTATCCTTTACTAGTTTGTTTCAAGTTCACTCAGATATGCAGTTGCTTAGGAACAGAATGAAACGTGTGTGTGTGAGGTGAAAGGGGGCAGGGCGTGCAAACTTCTGAAAGTGACGATAAAAAAATAGCACCAGGTTACACACCCTGATTTGTGAGAATTAAGCATTCACTTAAATATTAATCTATATATCGGAAAGTGAAATTAAAGCACTTGCAAGATGTTTTTTTCTCTTTTTGTCTTAAAGAAGGTTTTGTGTGAATACACGGCATCATATACCCAACAAAAACAAGTCGACCAGTAGGGGTAAACAATTAGTACTTATTGAAATACCGACTGGTTATTGAAATATTTATCCACCAAACTCAACAAATATGAAATATGTCAAATATTAAGGTAACTGCAAAATGACACCTTTCGATAATTTAAAATGGCCCCGTCAAGAATTTATTCTTGGTTAAGGATAAAGCATGATAAATGTACGATATCGAATTACAGTTATTGACATAATAGTGCAAATTGAAAGGAGTAATTGAAAAATTACCTGAACCATGCAGAATCTACAGGCGCTTGGGGAATGTACCCCTTTTTTAATCGAAGTAAAAAAAAAGGGGAAAGGGGGGGGGGGGGGGGGGGGGGGGGGGGGGACGGGGGTTCATTCCCCAAGTGCCCGTGAACGCGACTTATTACTGGATTTCTCGTTACACAATTTGATAGTTCACATCAAGCAGAAAATGTCTAACACCTTTTAACTGTACTTTCTTAAAAGTTTGACAAAGACCTGCATATTCACATAAAACACATGCAAACAAGCTGTAAAACATAAGATATATCATTAACAAGAGTGTACTTACTGAAATGTCTCGCCTGCTTTACTGATCTTTGATTTTATGTTGATAGTCCTAAATATAAAGCTTTACTACAAGTATCACATAAACTTAACATGATCCAAGAAAATGAGGCCAAGGTCAGATAAACCAAACCGGAAATTCATGTACACCTCACAATCATTCAATACACAAAACATATTTAAGTCTCCCAAACGAAGTTTGGGAAGACTTATTGGTTTTGCTCAGTTCTTATTATTAAGTCGCCAAAACGGAGTTTTGGGGACTTTATGTTTTTGTCCCGTTTCTTATTATTATTATTATTATTATTATTATTATTATTATTCTTAACCCTAATTTGTCCGACCATTTTCTTCCAAGCCTTAAATGATGGAAACTTTATTTGGTATGATGTTGGGGTAGTATCCCTAGTGGTGCATTCGCTATTCTTTATTTTCAAATGGGGGTCAACTTGGCACTTTTTGGGGGGCGGAACATGGGTGGGGTCATTTTTCGACTATTGATTCGCTACTGACTAGTAGAACCTTTAAGTTTTGTGTAACACAAGAGACCGATGTCCAGGTGTCCATTCCACATTTTTTATTTCAGCCCGGGGTCATCTTGGCATTATTTTAGGGGGTCAATTTTCATGGAACATTCTAGAACAATAGTCATGTGATTTGTCATGTGATAGTATTGAATTATTCCTATGTACTTTTTATGTTATATAATGATAGATTATTACAGGTAGCACCATATGTATCTGTAATTCAAACTTTGGAATTTTTAAAATGGCCGCCGTTACCATGGAAACTGCAAAAATGAGAATTTTGTTTAAAATGCTTCAAATTTAATGAAATTTTACAGAGATGTTAACGAGTGTATGTAGATTTGGAATTTGACTTTGGAATTTCCAAAATGGCCGCCGTTGCCATGGAAACAACAAAAATGCGAAAAATTTTGATTTGGTCCAATCTTTATGAAATTTGACAGTAATGTGACCTGCCATGTGTAGATGTGCCATCCGACTTTGGAATTTTCAAAATGGCTGCCGTTACCATGGAAACTGCAAAAATGTCAAAAAACTCAAAATGCTTCAAACTTAATGCACAAATGTTGACTGTCTTATGTAAATGTGGCATTTGACTTTGGAATTTCCAAAATGGCCACCGTAACCATGGAAACACGAATGCCTAAATTTAAAAATTGGTCCAAT